TGCCCTTGCCTCAAAGCTGCTCCCTCCTCCTCTGCTGCTCCCTCCATGACCAGCTGAGACACCTCCTCCTCCTCCATGCAGCCCTGCCCCAACATCCGCCAACTGATTCCAGTCCCACACATGGCCGCTTTCTGCAGCTTTAAAGCCCTGGCCAACAAATCCCACCCTGGCCTTCACCACCTGCTGCGCGGCCCCCTGGTGTGAGCTCTGAGCCCACCACATGGCCTGTCAGTTCCTTCTGGTCAGAGTCAGCTCTGAGCTCTGCGCTCTGCGGCTCCTTCCCACAGAGGCTTGGTAAGTACTAACTGCTGGAGTGCCCTGTGTCTCTGCACCCCTGCTCCCTCCACTGCCTGCTCTGTACCCGCCACAGCCGCGGCCTCTCCGAGACACCCAGGGCGCCCAGGGTCTAACTAGTTGCCCATTTCAGAGCTCCTTGTGGGATAAGGTGCCGTCCTCGTGTGTACAAACGTGTCCAAAGAGGTAAGACTTGCAGCATGCAGGGGCTGGGCGGGAATGAGCCCCTGGGTGTTCCGGGCAGGGCAGACGCTGCCCCTCTGTGGGATGGGCCCAACTACCTCACCCACAGGAGGGGCGTGCCAGGGCTGGAGCCCAGCTTGGCAACAGTCACTTATGTGCATCTTCCTCAATGGATTATTCTGGGCTGGAGCTGCTGGGTGGGTGCAGGGGAAGGGGTTGGGGATGACCAAGGCTGTGAGGTGGGGAGGGAGAGAGCTAGGGGCCGGAAGGCCGGGAGAGGAGGGACGCCACGGAGAAACCCAGGGAACCTCGGGACCCTGGCGGTGCAGCTGTGAGCTAGCTTACCCTCTGGGGACACGTGCAGCGCCCAGCCTACTAGGGAACCCTGCTCTGAGCTCCAGGGAGCCCCTCGGCCCCCGTGACGCCCCAGCCAGCTCTTACACTTGGTCTAGCTTCGGCACGAAGTCCAGCAGCTCCTTCTCCTCGTCTATGTCCCTGGAATCCTGTCTCTCGGCCTTGGAGCCGACCAGTTCCTCCCCTGAAATGGCACGCACACATGAGGGGCAGGCGGAGGGAGAGTTCTTTCTGTCTTAAAAAAGCTTTTCCTGGTCCGCCTCTCAGAGCTCGCCCTGAGTGTAGAAGGTCTCTGATGTGCTGTCCCTGCTCAGACCTCTGATCCCGGCCTGGGGCACAGGGCCGGGCAGCCACCTCCTCACAGCTTACCCTGAACCAGGCTTCGCAGGCACACGGCCAGGGCCAGAATGTTCTGCAAGTTCTCCTTCAGCATCCCTGCCTGCCTTTTTTTTTTTTTTTGGCTAGAGGGCAAGTATACTCCCAGAGACAGACTGAGATACAGGGAGGGAGAGGGGCAAGCACTCCCCATGGAGTGGGGCATGGTCACACTGCAATCCCTTTTCCACCTGTCCTGTGGATACACATGCATGCACACACGCACACACGCAGGCTCACACACACGTGTGTGCACACACACATGCACGCACATGCACGCACGCACACACACACGCCTGTGGAGGCTCTCTCTAGCTGCTGGGTCTGGGATTTGAACCATGCAGTCGGCCATGTGGGAGGTGGGTATTTAACCGCCAGGGCTTGGATGCAGCCCTGAAAACAGCCCTTTGCAGGTGTACAATGGCACCAGAGAGGGGGCTGGTGCTTAAGAGTGAACGCTGTGGACAGGGGCCCTCGTGTTGAAGGGCTGTGGGGCTTTTTGTAGCTGTGGGGGCCGAAATCACAGTCGCCGAAATCACAGTCTCCAAAGCCCATTACAAAGAAGTTCACACTACAGGAGAATCGGCTGCCTGCACCCCAGTCTGCCTGCACCCCAGCCTGCCTCTGCTTTCTCTCTTTGCTTGAACCAGAGCTGGGGGCTGAGCTGTGACCCTGCACTGTCTTGCACTGTCTCCACAGCGCGCGTCCGGTTTTGTGATCCGGAGCTGACGGAATGGGATAACGGCTCATGCAGTCATGACCACAGACACGGAGGCATGGGCGCAACACGGATGGGCGGCAGGGACTGCCGAGGGCGTGGACCTCACGGGTCGCGAGTCCCGGTGGAGGCCAAGCTCCTGGCTCTGGACTGTTAGCTGTCCAAGGACGATGGGAAGCGGGAATGGATTAGTGAGGGCTTGGGGGTGGAGGTGAAATGCACTCTGGTGAGAAAGACCACAGGGAACAGAAAGCGTTTCATACCCATTAGAGATATATGAGCGGTTCCTGCAAAGCAAAAAGAGCCACATTGAAGGAAGGGCAGGTCGAAGTCAGTCAGAGCAAGAGGCACATCGCCAACGGGGACACGGGAGGCTGTAGCCATCTCGCTCACAGGGCTACACGTGCGCTGAGCCACGCACACGGAAGGGGCCACAGGGCGAATCCGATCGGGCCCCGTTTACACCGCAGGGGCTCCCTTCCAACTCAGCGAGGAATTGGGGTTCCTCTGGGGAAGGGGAAATGCCAGGAGCACTCTAGGTCACAGCAGCCGGGACCAGACATTTCATAATAGCAGAGAGAACCCTAAACCTGGGGACCCCCTGTGCGGACGGAGGAGCGGCTTACTGAAAGTTGCTCTCAGGGATTCTAAACAATCTGCTTATTATTCGCTCAACGCACGAGGAAAACACCAGGCAGAATGCGGTTCAGTCCCTGCAGCACTGAGAGCCGACCTGCGAGTCACACCTGATACACACATGATGTAAGCAGACACACGTGTGTTTAGGAAACTTCGTGGGGCCTGAATTTTAATCTCCGAGATAACTTTCCTTCACTGAAGATGTTATAAAGGAGATTTTTTCCCTTGATAGGGCATGAAAGCTCCTGGGGTGAGGGTGGGGTGTGTGTGAGAGATCACCTCCCGGGGGGATGGCAACACCCCAATCCTTTCTCTTCCAGTCTCCTGTCTGGATTTTGGCCATAAACACACATGGGCCTAGCGTGACTTCTCAAGCTGTCTGGTCCAGGACTCAGACCACAGTGGGTCACGTGGGACTCCAGCTCCTAAACCACCACGCTTTTGGTAACACATTTGTAAAAAGCGGCCTCTCCACTTTCAAGGCGCATCTGCAGAACCCAGCCTGGCTAAGGGACCCTAGTGCAGCTCGGCAGGGCAGCTGGCAGGGGCCACCAGGTGGGGCTCACACCTGGAGTCCCCATCTGTCTGAGCTCCTTATCCCAGACTTTACCTTCGTCCTCAGAGACATCCAGGATCTCGTCCACCGTCTCAGGGAAGCTCATCCGGTGCTTGTCACCGACTAACTACACGGAGAAAGCAGAGGATTCAGGGGTGCGGCGCAGTGACTGCTCACAACTGGGGAGCCGGAGAGGAGGCGGGAAGGAAGTTTGTCCCAAACAAAGACAACAGACCAGCCCCTGGGGTCAGCCTGGAAGCTGACCAGGCAGGAGCCCAGGGTGGGTAAACGCGGACTTCTCATTCCCTAATCCCTGCCCCATCCCCACCTGTCCGCCCTGCTCCCCTCTGGGCGCAGCCTAACTCCTCAGGCCGCTAGGTGGCAGCACAGCCCCGCCTGAAGGAGGAGCACCCTCAGGCAGGGCTTCCCCTGGGCTTTCAGACCCCCTTCCCCCAGAATGTGTCACTTCCAGCTTCTGGGGAACCCACAGGGCCCCCGGATCTGCCAGGCGCGTGTGCTTGGGGGAGCACGTACCACCACACTGGTTTCATCTGTGACGACCTTGAGCACGTCTGTTACGGAGATGTAGCCCAGCCGCTTGGCAATTGCTAGGGGCGTGGTTCCATTCTGGAAGAGGGAGCAAGAGGGGGCGCTCAGAAGGGGAGGGCCTGGTCCGCCCCCATCCACGAAGGGGCTTCAGTATTTTAAATCCATGAATATTTTTTCCATAATATGCATTTTCCAGGGCCAGCAGATGGCATAATGTTTATGTCACTGGACTCCCACAGGGCAGATCACAGTTCAAGTCCCAGACTCAGAGGCTTGAAACTCACACTGTGCGTGCGTGCCCAAGATCCCGAGAGGAGAATGGAGGAGAAAGGAGTGCGGTGTGGGGATCCCCGGGGGGGATTTCTCACTTTCTCTCTGTTGCTCCGGGATGTGCACACACCCTCTAACAAAAATCTCTCCCCCCTCAAAAAAAAAAAAGTGTAAAAATAATATTAAATAAAATAATTCTTTAACAAGTGTATTTCCCAAGAACTCGAAGTCCTCTCCCCTCGCTCCCATAAATCCTCCACATGAACACGGTCACTAGTCAGGTGTTACAGTCATCAGACCCTAAAGGTCAGGAACCACCAAACAGCGTTGTCCCCTCTCACACTGAAAGCGGTCTCGTGTGTTTTAGAAAGGGTTTCAGTGAGAACACAAGGGACTTCAGAGTTCAAAGGCCCACTTCAGGGGCCGGTGGAGGGCAGGCCCTGAAATGCAGCCTTAAAGTGCTGTGCATAGGAGACCGGATTCCACATGACAGACCATGGTTCGAATCCCAGCTCCAGTGGCTTGGAAACCATGCCATGTGTGTGACCCAAATGCTGAGAGGAAGGACAAGTGGAGGGAAAAGGACTGAGGACCATGCCCCATCGGGGAGTTCTTTCTTTCTTTCTCTCTCTCTCTCTTTTGCACACATGACCTCTGGCAGTAAAGAAAGAAAGTAAAAGTTCGGTTTGGTGCAAAAGTGACGTGAAGATCCATGCACGCAGCTTTTCCACAGTATGCACTTTTCCATAAACTTTTTGAAGACTCCGCACATTTAGAACAAAAGAAAAGGGAGAGAGAGTAAATAAGGCTCAAAAAGACAACCTGCAGTTCATCGGGAAGAGAAAGCGACACAACACCCCAGGAGGAGCCCACCACAACCGAGACTCTACAGCTGCAGCCTCGGTCCCGGGTGTCTGCAGGAGCCTCTGCAGTCAGAGGTCACGGGGTGCGGCCTGGGGAGCAGCTGTCTGAAGTTGGGAGGGAGCTGGACACTCACCGAGCTGACCTCGTTTGGGGAAGCACCATTTTTCAGAAGCAGGGTCACGATGTCCGTATGTCCTTGTTGGGCCGCCTGGTGCAAGGGACTGTACCCCAGCTGTAAAGCCGGGTGGGTATTTGGCAGGGTGAGCCAGTTGGCAGAGAGAGCGCCCCCGCCCCCATGCTACCGAGCCGTCCCGTGCACATCTGCCCCAATCCCTCCTTCACAGGACAAGCCTGTAGCCACGGCAGGGCCCCAGTATGGCAGAGCTGCTCCCAGCGTTCGAACCCGGCACTGAGAGCCGTCAGGGCCGGAGCGTTGCAGCCGGGCCCTGCACGTCCCCCTACCTTGGTCTTGGCATTGACGTCAGCCTGGTGTTGGAGCAGAAATTTCACCAGCTTGATGTTTCCATAGTGGCTGGCCACGTGGAGAGGCGTGTAACCCATCTGGAAGGCAAGCAGTAAGGGTGACTCCCGGGCCCGGGCAGAGCGCGGGCCGTCCTGCACTGCGCGTGCGTTTCAGGAAACGCTCACACGATCAGCAACGCGGAGAGGGAACAGGAAGCCCGGGCAGGCTGGCGGCCACTGCAAGGTGTAAGCTCTGTGCTGCTTGTCAGGCACCCCGGCCTGGGAAGGACCAGGGTTCAGTTCCAGACAAGTGAAGGCCAAGATGCTTCTGAGAGACAAAGGGGTGGTAGGCAAAGTGGCACTGCATCCCGCGGAGAGGGCCGGGCTGGGGTCCTGAGCGGGGAGGGTCAAACGCCCTGGAGATGAGTGAAGTCGCCACAGATAAAGTATGGAGAGAAAAAACGGGGGACTAAGGATGGCGTCAGGAAAGAGGACTGTGAGGGAGCAACAAGGGTGGGAGGGGACCCCGGAGGGGCTGCGGTACAGAGCCCAGGGGGAAGCTGCGGTTGGGACGATGGTCTGTCCCCAGAGGTTCATGTGCTGGAATTTGACGCTGGGAGGCAGCGAGGCTGGTGGGAGCTGACTGGCGTCTCGTGACCAGACCAATGATGTCCCGAGAGACCCAGTGAGTTCTAGCCCTCGCAGGAAGGGCTAGTTCTTGTGAGAGCTGGTTGCTGCCAGAGCGTTGCCAGACACTCCCTCCACAGCGCCCACCATCCTCCTCGCTTCCGTCAGCCATGCTGTGGCCTCGGCCTTCAGACTCTCCAGCCACCAGAATCCTGAGTCTGTAAGTAAAGCTCAATCTTCTTTATAAAGCCGCCCAGTCAGGTACTTCTATAGAACCCGACGACCAACTAAGCCCAGGGGTTCCTCCAGGAGGAGGCAGCACACACAGGCTCTCGGCTGCGAAGGGGGCGAAGACGAGGACAGCAGCCGCAGGAACCGCGCTGACCCTGACCATCGCAGGCTTCTTCCTGCCGGGAAGCTGAACTCCCACTGCAAAGCCTCCAAAAGGCTGCACGGGCGCGCTGTTGGGGGGTGGAACTCTAGGAACCAGCCACGGCTTGAAACGAAAGGGCCCTGGATGAGTGCTCACGTGAGGTATGGGCTCTCTCCCACTGAATGTCCCGCTGTCCCCAAAGAGCCGACAGCCCTGTTCCCTGGCGGCCCTGGGAAGCTGGTGCTGGTTCCAAAGGCCCCCTATATAGATCCTTTTTTTTGTTGTTGTTGTTGCTATAGGGCATGTGCATGTGCCAGAAAGACAGAGAGAGACAGAAAGTGAGAAATCACCCCCCAGGGAGGATGGCCACGCCGCAATCCCTTCTCCTCCATTCTCCTCTCGGGACCTGGGGCACTCATGCACATGTGCCTGGTGTGAGTTTAAGCCACTGGGTTTGGGACTCGAACCACAGTTGACTACATGGGAGTCCAGCGACATAGCCACTTTGCCAACTGCCGGTCCCTCCCCTATGCAGATCCTGCGGTGAGACCTTCATATTCTGGATGGCTCTAGGCAGCTCCAACCACGGAATAGGGCCTCTCAGAGCAGGAGAGCCAAAATCAAACTGGGACAAGGGAAACCTCCACGATCCAGAACATTCTCGTTTTCTCTGCTAGAGGGCAGATGTGCTCACGAGAGACAGAGAAATGTGGCAGGGGAGGGAGAAAGCCCCTGTACCGAGGCATGGTCACACACAATCCCCTCTCCTCCATTTCTCCACCCTGTTGAGATTTCGGGCACACACGGACACCAGCCTGGCTGGCACCGGGATTCAGACCACAAGGCCGGCCATCTGCAATCCAGTTCCCTAACCATCAGGCTACAAGGCTGACCCCATTCTGGGACTTTAAGCAGATTTCTGAAGCTGTAGGCAGCTGAGGTAACACACAGTTTCCAGACTTTTCTCTGGGTGCTTAACATGACACTATTGTGGCCTTGGGTTACTCTGGAGAGGCGGTGGCTGGCCGTGGTGTCACTCTACCCCCTCCTCTGACTGCAGCCTCCTGCGGTGAGCAGGGGCTGGGTGCTGCTTCTCCAGGAACCTCTGCCTTTCAGTAGCTGGAGACGGCTCTCCCGCCCTGTGCCCATAGCTCCTCACATACCAGATATGGGGGGTGGGGACGTCTTCAGAAAGTTCATGGGAAATGGTCATCATGAAACACCTGCTCTGCACCAGAATAAACCCCCCGTTCACCCTGAGGTCCCCTGCACGGCGCCTTTCCGCCCGCTGCCATCCCTCCACGCCCGCTCCCCGGGGTGTGCCCGACTCAGTGAGCTCAGGCCTCCTCCTTGCCCCTGCCCCCAGAAGATGCTCAAAGACGGCTGGACTAAACTTAGTGAGATGGTAGAATAAAAGAAGCTGAGTGTTTGAGCGAAGCCAGGGAAGCCTGACCCTGTGAGGGACTCCTACTCAGAGATCTCAGAGCTGCGATGAAAGGTTCCTCTGAGGTCCTTGCCACAGAGGCTCAAAGGTTTAGCAGACTTCTCAAAATTCGCAACTGGAAAGTGGGATAATTAGGACGGATGTCTTCCGACTCCACTGCCGGCTCTGGGAAGTGGCAGGGAAGAACGCCCCACTGGGCCCTCAGGGGTTCAAAGCTCTGTAGAAGGTTCTGGTGGTTGGGGAGAGGCCGCTGGGCAGGAGTATGTGAACCCACGCGGAGGGAAGTGGGGAGCCCAGGAGAGCTGAATGGGGGGTGGCGGGCTGCCTTACCCGGGTGGCGGCGTCCACCGTGACACCATGTTTGATCAGCACATCTGCCACGGGAACATGGCCTTCCTGTGCCACCAGATGGAGGGGAGTGAGTCCACTCTGGAAGGGAGAAGAGGTGCGTCACTTTCTGGCCAGTGAAGAGATCAGGGCACAAGGGGAGAGCTGAGGCTTGGGAGCCAAGCCTGGCTCTGGGTCCGACGGCTAGTAGGCCCTGGGCAAAGCTCTTTCTGCCCTGGACCTCGATATTCAGATCTAAAGGCGAGGTGCGCAGACCAATCAGGGCTGGCAGCTGTTTCTAAGGCCAGACTGTCAACACTTCAGTCTGGTGACGACAGAGCCACTGCCCAGCTTTGGCTGTGATAACACAGCAGCCATGGCTAACGTGAGCGTGGCTGTGTTTCGATAAAACTTTATTTAGACAAACAGGCAGCAGGCCAGATTTGGCCGAGGGGCCATCACCTGCTGACCTGTGAACTTCACGGTCCCTTCCAATTGCAGGTCCTTTAGCTACTGTCCCAGGAGGAAACGCCCTTTCCCCACGGTAAGCTTCAGAGCCTTGGCTTCCTAATCCAGAAAATCGAAATGATCACTGACCTTCCGCAAGGGCAAGGTGAGGGTCCCTTGAGAAAGGGCTGGTGGAAGCGCTTTGAAGAGCAGGGCGCCCTTTAAACGCAGCAGACCATCACCACGCCCTGGCGAGTGCCGCACGGCAGCAGGGAGGGCCCCGGGAGTGAGGACTCTTAGATTCCCAGCACGGCCTCTTGGCTTTCTTGTGAGGGTCGCAGCCACCTGGGGTTCTGCTGCCGTCTGGGGCCTTGCACGGAGGGCCAGGAGAGTCTCCCTCACGCCCCACTGCAGTACTTTGCTAACGGGACACAGAGCCACGGCGCCTCTGCAGACATGAGCCAGGGCCCCTCTGCCGTGGCCCTCTGTGCCCTCCTCTGCTTTCTCACAGTGGGCCAGAGGCTGGGGACAGCCAGCCTGAGCGAACAGCCACTCCTGCAGCAAGCAGGGTGGGCGCACGTGAGAATGTCAATGTCACGTGGCAGTCATGAGCGTCACGTGGCAGTCATGAGCGTCCTGGCGGCTGGGCATCTGGCCGGCCTTGGGCTGACACCAGTGGTCTGCCTCGTGAGGGTGGTATGTGGGCAATGGGGTGGGCGCCCGGGACAGAGAACCACCTCCCTCATCACTGCCACCTCCCAGAGCTCGCTCTACGTGGGACAATGAGGACACTCAGGACACCAGGAAGTCGGAAGGCCGTGCCGGGACAGCTCTTTTCCTGCGCCAACTGCTCAGACTGGCACACAAAGAGCCGAGGCCTAACCGATGGCACCTACGGAACCTAAGTTCTCCCCGAGAGGCGCGCCTCTCCCGAAGTGCCCACGTCCATCCACCATCTGAAGGGTGGTGCGATTCTGCCATCCCTGTACATCTCCACGTCTGTGGGAAGTACGGAACAGGCAAGTCGGGGACGGAAAGGGCAGTGGTCACCGGGACTCGGGGTGTGGACGGAGGGGAAGCAGCGCCAATGAGGACGGACTTCCTCTGGGCTCAGGAGAACGCTCTGAGTTACACAGAGGATGGCTGGTGAACCCTGGCCAACCCTGAGGTCCTGCAGGACCAGGAACTACCGAACTGGACAGTTAGAGGGGCGACTTTTAAGTGAATTACATTTCAATAAAACTGTCATTTGAAAGGAAATGATTCTTAGTGTTTCTTGGCTCATGCACTCATCATGCTTTTAACGTGAACAGCTGGAGCAGGAAAACGTCCCTGTGCCCACCCTCCCCAGAGGCCTCGCGCGCACACACCCCTTGAGCCCCTTGTCTAACGGATAGGTCAGTCTTTCCCAGAAGGACCTCCTCTCCCAGAGAGCGCATACTTAGCACCAAACTACCTGATCTACTCCTGAGCGCAGACACTGGCCCCTACTCGGGAGGGTGTGCTGTGTGCTTAACTCTGCTCTTTCTGCAGACCCTGGAGTGCAGCTGTTTAGAAGGACAATAGAGTCAGCAGAGGGCTTGACGGCAGAGAGGCCCCGGGTCCTGCAGCCTCGGGAGTGAGCCGCCTTCCTGACATTCTCTGCTCACTCATCAACTGCGATTGTGATGAAAAAGGACACAGGGTTCTCCTGAGTTCGCACTCACAGACCCCACCCAGCACTCGGCACAGAGTAGGTGCTCGTGTGCAGACGGGACGCAGGTTGGCCGCCGCGGACACGTTCCTGGAGGCGCCGTGCCTACCTTGTTCCCCAGGTTGCCATTGGCTTGCTTGGAGAGGAGCAGGGCGACCATCTCGGCATGGCCCTCCTGGGCAGCCAGGTGCAGGGGGGTCACGCCTTGCACCGACTCGGCGTTTGCTGACCCCCCGTACTGCAGCAGGCTGCGGGCCACCTCCATCTGGTTCTGCTTGGCAGCGATGTGCAAAGGGGTGTAGCCATTCTGAAACAGAAGGGGCAGCCCGCAGCCTGGTTACAGAATGCTGCGTTGACACTCGGAGCCCTGGGAGGGGGCCCACCGAGCAGGCTGGTGGCACCAGGAGAGCCACTGAAGGAAACAACGAGCCAGCAAAACCCGTTCGATTGCGAGA